CTGGGGGAGCTGCCGGAGGCTGGAGGGAGGGGGAAATTCACAGGCTTTAGCCGGAGCCAGATGGCAGGAGAGAGACGGAAAGAGCCGGAGGGCGCCAGGCGTTTGCTCACACCAGGGTGGGGCCGCTGGGGCTCCGTTGTTGGCAGGGAATGACTCTGGATTGACACCGGGCCGGGTTCTCTGCGGACACTGCCAGGCCGGCGCGAGGCTGCCCCCTCTGGCTGCCCCCGTGCGGTGCAATGGGGGACGCTGCCTCAGTTTCCCTCCTGGCATGGCCCATTTACAGTAGGCTTCCCTCGTTCTGGCGTCCTGGGCAGCGGCCGGTGGTTCTTTAGCCTCCCATGGCTGCCTGGCACCCCAGCGCACCAGCTGTTCCTCAGGATAAGCTCCTTCTGCCGACTCTCCATCCGTCCTGCCTGGGCACCGCCCGCTCGGTCTAATCCTTAATCGCCTGCGAGCCCCGGACCGGAGCCCTGGGCTCCCCTTAACCCCCGCCTTGCCGGCGTGGGGCCGGATCTCACGCAGGAGCTCTCTAGAGGGGGATGGACGCTACCCGGAGGAGCTGTGGGTCTTACTGGCTGCTCCCTTCTCCGACGGGCTGGGGGGTGGGACAGCATCCTGCCCCCCTGCCCGGGCCCCTCTTGTCCGCTGCCCTGTTGGCGCGGGCGGCTCCGGGCGCTTTCCGGGCCTGGCGAGATTTCGGCCCTGCGAGGCTGGCTCCGTTTCCCAGGCCCGGGGCACTGCCCGGGGGCCCGCGCCGGTGCTGGGAACAGAACCGGGGAGTCCGGTGCCCCAGGGCTGGGCGCGGGCGGGGCCAGGGCATCCTCAGTGGGCTGAGCTGTGTTTGCCGGGTGGATCCCAGCCGCGCCCCCTGCTGGCCCTGGGACGGGGACCCTCCAAACCTCTCCAGCGCCCCCTGCTGGCCCTGGGACGGGGACCCTCCAAACCTCTCCAGCGCCCCCTGCTGGCCCTGGGACGGGGACCCTCCAAACCTCTCCAGCGCCCCCTGCTGGCCCTGGGACGGGGACCCTCCAAACCTCTCCAGCGCCCCCTGCTGGCCCTGGGACGGGGACCCTCCAAACCTCTCCAGCGCCCCCTGCTGGCCCTGGGACGGGGACCCTCCAAACCTCTCCAGCGCCCCCTGCTGGCCCTGGGACGGGGACCCTCCAAACCTCTCCAGCGCCCCCTGCTGGCCCTGGGACGGGGACCCTCCAAACCTCTCCAGCGCCCCCTGCTGGCCCTGGGACGGGGACCCTCCAAACCTCTCCAGCGCCCCCTGCTGGCCCTGGGACGGGGACCCTCCAAACCTCTCCAGCGCCCCCTGCTGGCCCTGGGACGGGGACCCTCCAAACCTCTCCAGCGCCCCCTGCTGGCCCTGGGACGGGGACCCTCCAAACCTCTCCAGCGCCCCCTGCTGGCCCTGGGACGGGGACCCTCCAAACCTCTCCAGCGCCCCCTGCTGGCCCTGGGACGGGGACCCTCCAAACCTCTCCAGCGCCCCCTGCTGGCCCTGGGACGGGGACCCTCCAAACCTCTCCAGCGCCCCCTGCTGGCCCTGGGACGGGGACCCTCCAAACCTCTCCAGCGCCCCCTGCTGGCCCTGGGACGGGGACCCTCCAAACCTCTCCAGCGCCCCCTGCTGGCCCTGGGACGGGGACCCTCCAAACCTCTCCAGCGCCCCCTGCTGGCCCTGGGACGGGGACCCTCCAAACCTCTCCAGCGCCCCCTGCTGGCCCTGGGACGGGGACCCTCCAAACCTCTCCAGCGCCCCCTGCTGGCCCTGGGACGGGGACCCTCCAAACCTCTCCAGCGCCCCCTGCTGGCCCTGGGACGGGGACCCTCCAAACCTCTCCAGCGCCCCCTGCTGGCCCTGGGACGGGGACCCTCCAAACCTCTCCAGCGCCCCCTGCTGGCCCTGGGACGGGGACCCTCCAAACCTCTCCAGCGCCCCCTGCTGGCCCTGGGACGGGGACCCTCCAAACCTCTCCAGCGCCCCCTGCTGGCCCTGGGACGGGGACCCTCCAAACCTCTCCAGCGCCCCCTGCTGGCCCTGGGACGGGGACCCTCCAAACCTCTCCAGCGCCCCCTGCTGGCCCTGGGACGGGGACCCTCCAAACCTCTCCAGCGCCCCCTGCTGGCCCTGGGACGGGGACCCTCCAAACCTCTCCAGCGCCCCCTGCTGGCCCTGGGACGGGGACCCTCCAAACCTCTCCAGCGCCCCCTGCTGGCCCTGGGACGGGGACCCTCCAAACCTCTCCAGCGCCCCCTGCTGGCCCTGGGACGGGGACCCTCCAAACCTCTCCAGCGCCCCCTGCTGGCCCTGGGACGGGGACCCTCCAAACCTCTCCAGCGCCCCCTGCTGGCCCTGGGACGGGGACCCTCCAAACCTCTCCAGCGCCCCCTGCTGGCCCTGGGACGGGGACCCTCCAAACCTCTCCAGCGCCCCCTGCTGGCCCTGGGACGGGGACCCTCCAAACCTCTCCAGCGCCCCCTGCTGGCCCTGGGACGGGGACCCTCCAAACCTCTCCAGCGCCCCCTGCTGGCCCTGGGACGGGGACCCTCCAAACCTCTCCAGCGCCCCCTGCTGGCCCTGGGACGGGGACCCTCCAAACCTCTCCAGCGCCCCCTGCTGGCCCTGGGACGGGGACCCTCCAAACCTCTCCAGCGCCCCCTGCTGGCCCCAGGGAGGGGACTCCCCCAAACCTCTCCAGCGCCCCCTCGGGGCCCATTCCCGCCCATCCCCTCGGGCTGCTCCCTGCCCAGCCTGTGACGTGCTCTCCCCCTGCGCAGGACGACCCCCGCGGTGCTGCTCTGGCAGTGGGTGAACCAGTCCTTCAACGCCATCGTGAACTACACCAACCGGAGCGGAGACGCCCCCATCACCGTCGGGTAAGGGGGCCGCAGAGGCTGGGGAAGACGGGGAGCCCTGGGGG